GGGGGGGGGGGGGGGGGGGGAGGGGCTTGTCCACAGCAACTCATACATCAGGCACAGAAGAAGGAGCTCTTTTAACCACCATGTACAAATGAAACTGTTTCTTTGGGATTCACCAGCTATTTCTCTTGTGCACAGGTAATAAATGAATTAAAAATGAAAAAAAAAAACAAAAACGGAAGGGCTCATTACCCAACTGTGGGGGAAGTGATGTTCCCCCTGAGATGCCACTGACCACCTGGTACAACACCGCCAACTCTGAGCGATGAGGGCGTCACAGATTCAGGGCCGGGAGGGGCCCTAGAACAGGGGATGGCAGGGCTGGGAGGGGCCTTAGAACAGGGGATGTCAGGGCTGGGAGGGGCCTTAGAACAGGGGATGTCAGGGCTGGGAGAGACTTGAAGGTTTTTAAAGCACTTTTGATGCCACCTACCTCTCTCTCTCTCTCTCTCTCCCCCTCTCTCTCTCTTTCTCTCTTTCTCTCTTCCTCCTGACCATGACAGCATATTCTACAGTGGAAATAGCTCTGACTCAGAAGTCAGGGGCCATGGGTTTGAATCTGGCCTCTGATGATTACCACCTGTGCTGAGACTCTTTTTTCATCCGTTGAAGGAGAGGTTTGGACAAGCACTCCTGGGGGCCCTTTAGGATCGGTGCCCCTATGATTGTGTTAGGAAACCAAAGATTCAGTGATCTGCCAAAGCCACTCAGCTGGAAAGTGCTGGAGGCTGGATTTGAACTCAGATCTCTTGACACTGAGGCCAGTGTTTTTTCCCCATGATTCAGTTGTGCTGATGGGGATTCAGTTAGCTCCAAGGTTCCTTCCAGTTCTAAGATGCTGTTATTCTATGAAATTCTAGGTAGATCGGTGTTGCACAGGGCCTGGAGCCAGAAAGATGTGAGTTCAGATCCAATTTCAGATACTTCCTAGCTCAGTAAGTCACTGTTGGCCTCAGTTTCCTCATCTGTAAAATGAATATCGTAATAGCACCTACCTTATCTAAGGAGATAATATTTGTGAAGTGCTTAGCACGGGCCTGGTACATAGTAGGCACTTAATAAGTGCTTGTTCCCTTTCTCTTCCTCTTCTCTCTATGAAGGAATCCTGGGTAGGACTCCAAGAGGCCTGCACTTAAGGCCCCTCTCTGCCATTGATTCATTTTGTAAACACAGGAAAGTCACTTCCCATCTCTTGGCCTCAATTTCCTCCTCTGTAAATGAAGCTATTGTTCTTGATTTTTGAGCTCCCTCCCACCTCTGACATTCCCTGTTCTAAGGGCCAACCCAGATTTGACATTCTCTGTTAGAAGGTCCTTCCCCAGTCTGACATTATATATTCTAGGTTCCCTTTCAGCTCTGAGTTCTCTGTGCTAGGCCCTCCACAGTTGTGATGTTCTGTGCTCTAAGACTTTCCATCCTATACCTAATGTTCTATTTTGTATTTAATTTTTTTTCATTTAAAAATCTATTTTCTCTTTCACTCCTCTCTCAAATTTAGAAAAAGAAAAAAAAACATAGTAATAAATATGCATAGTTAAGTATAAGAAAACTGCCTCATTGGACATATGCTAAAATCTCTCTCTCTCTCTCTCTTCCTAGAGGTGGTAGCATTCTTTGGTATCAGTCTTCTGGTTGGTTAGAGTTCCTAAGTTTTTCAGTGCTGTTGGTCTTTTTTTTTTTTTTGGTTTGGTTTATTTGTTTGTTTGGTGAGGCAGTGGGGTAAATGACTTGCCAAGGGTCACACAGCTAGTAAATGTCAAGTGTCTGAGGCGGGATTTGAACTCAGGTCCTCCTGACTCCAGGGCTGGTGCTCTATCCACTGTGCCACCCAGCTGCCCTCAATGCTATTGGTCTTAACAGTGTTGTTGTTGTTGTATAAATTACTGTCCTGGTTCTGTTCCCTTCACTCTGTATCAGTTCATACAAGTATTCCGTCATTTCTCTGAACCATCCCTTTCCTCATTGCTCACAGCACAGGGGTACTCCATCCCATTCATGTACCCTAACTTGTTTAGCTATGCCCTAACTAATGGGCATCCCCTCAATTTTGAATTCTTTGCCACCACAAAACAGCTGCTATGAATATTTTTTATCCAGATGGGTCCTTTCTCTTTTTCTTTGTCCTTTGAGGCATAGGCCTTGTACTGGTATTGCTGGATCAAAGGGTATGTCCAGTTTGTGAGTCGTAGTTCCAAATTGCTTTCCAGAATGGCCAGCCCAGTTCTCAGCTTGGGTCTAAAGGGCACTTGGTTTCCAGAAGCCCTTGCAACTGTCATTTTTCTTTTTTTGTCATGTGATAAATGTGACCCAAGATTTTAGGTTCTAAGTTCCCCGCAGCATGGCTATTCCATGTTCTAGGTCCATCCAACACTGTCAGTCCAGGTTCTAGGGTCCCCGCGGCGTCACCAGTTCGTGTTCTAGGTTCCTTCCCAGCGCAATCATTCCGGGTTCTAGGTTGCGCCCATCGATGCCATTCCATGTTCTAGATTCCTCCCCAGCGCTGCCATTCCATGTTCTGGGGCCCCTCCTAGCTCTGGCATTTCATTTTCTAAGGGTTCTCTCACCACTCCAGTCACTTATAATTCTGTATGTCTGACAGTCTGCTAGTTGGAGGCATGGGGGTGGGGGTGGGGTGGGGTGGGTAGGTGCAGGCCTTACCCTCATGGAATTTATAGTCTCACTCTGGGCAGGGGCTTTCCTGCCTTCTCAAGCCTGTTCTGAGTCTGCTCTGGTCTTTCCATGGATCCTCCCTGAGCGTCTGCACTGCCCCTGGAGGCTGCCCTCTGGGCCCTTTACTATCTCAGGGGTGAGATCTAATTAGGGCAGGAGGAAGCCTAGCAGAAGCCAGGGCTCAGCTGGGTGTTGCCATGGGGGGAGTGGTTCTGCACAGCCATTGCTGGCAGAGATCTGGGTGGGCTGCCTGCTGGAGGAGGGGCCAGAGAAGACCTAGAGCTTCCAGAGGCCTCAGAGGCCATCCAGGCTAGCCCTCCCCTCCCCCCAGCCTTCAACAAAGGAAGAAATTGAGACCAGAAGAGGAGAGGTGACTTGTTTATTATGTAGGAGTGGTGGCATTGGAACCCACGCCTTCTGACTCCAGATTACCTCTCATTTAGAAACTCAGAAGATGATGGACTATACTGGTCCAGGGGAGGACCATGGCCACAGAATGACCCAGAGAGGCCCAGCAGGGAGAGTGAGGGGGCTGGGGGGAGTAAGGAGAGAGGGGCTCGGTCTGGACCATCCTGCCTTCCAGGGCTTCTTCAGCTCCTTCCACTAGAGACCCCTTCAGCACTTCTTAAACGGTATTTTGCATTCTTCTCCCCAGACACAGCAGCCATGGCGAGTCTGGCCTTCTCCTGCCTGCAGGCCTCTGGCCTGAACCCAGGCCTGGAACCTTGGATCTCCAGGGCCTTAAAGCACGTGAGGGACAAAATTCTCCAAGAAGAAACCCCAGAAGGTTACTTTGGAAACATATACAGCAGCCCTCTGGCCCTACAGGTGGGAGAGGGCATTTGGTGGTACCTGGGAGTTGGGTTTGCCTGGCACATAGTAAGGGCTTAAGAAATGTTCTCAAAAAAAAGAAATTAAAAAAAAATAATAAAAAAAAGAAACGTTCTCTCTCTGTCTCTGTCTCTGTCTCTCTCCCTCCCTTCCTCCCTCTCCTGTCCCCTCTCTCTTACTCTCTGTCTCCCTCCCCCCCTTCCTACCTCTCTCTCTTTCTCCCTCTCTCTCTCCTTCCCTCCCTCTCCTTCTCCCCTCTCTCTCTGTCCCCCCCCCCATCTATTTATCTGCTTATCTTCCCTGCTTCCTCCTCTATGAAACAAAAGGGTTGAAGTGGACCATCCCTGGGGCTGCTGTCCTTGATGAAGGACCTCTCTCAGGCAGGGGTCCGACTTCTCAGTCTGTGCTCTTCCTGGCATTCCCAGGCCCTGATGGAAGCCCCTTCGCCGGAGTCAGAGCTGGCCTGCCTCCGAGCTGGGAACGCTCTTATGAAGGGCCTCGAAGAAGGGGCCTTCCAGAACCCCATCCCCCTGTCCCAGCTGCTGCCCATCCTGCACCAGCGGACCTACCTCAGCCTCATGCAACTGGACTGCAATGACGAAAGAGGTTAAAGAACTGAGGGACCTGGAGGAAGGGGAGGTGGGGGCAGGGGAGACGGGGGAGGAGAGAAGGAAAGGGAGTAGGGAGGAAGGGGGAAGTCAGCCCCACAGCAGTCAGCTTCATCTGGGCCGGCTTTTATGGGGGATGAAAGCATACAGTGCTGTGCATCCATTAGGTGCTTAATAAATGCATGTTTCCACCTTAATAAAGGCCTGGCTCCCACCCTCATAGCTCTCGAGCAGGGAGGCACTTCAGAGGCCATCTAGACCAACCCGCTAATTTTCTAGAGAGGGAAACTGAGGGCCATCAGTGACAAAGTGACTCAGCTAATTTCTCACAGGGAGTAAGTGACAGAAGCAGCATTTGAACTCGGGGCATCTAACTCCAGAGGCAGCAGCTCACTGTCATTAATGATAACAGCTGATTTCATGTAGCTTGATGGCAAAGCACTTTACAGAGTTAACGCCTTTGATCTTCACAACAGCTCTGGGAGGCTGGTGCTAGTATTAGCCCCATTTTACAGATGAGGAAACTGAGAGTGGTTCTAGATGATGAGCCTTCCCTGACTGCCCCCGGCCTGGGATCCCTTCCCTGGGGTCCATGGAGCCCTGGGCACAGACACTTTCATTCTCCCTGTGTGAGAGTGGCCTTGATCATTATTCTGGGAGTCTCAGCTTGTCTAGGGCACACTAGGCCAGGCACTCAGGCCCCCAGTCACAGCCCTTTGAACGGAGCCCAACTTGGTCCCTTGGTGCTATGGGGACTCCTCACTGCCGTGTTTTTCCTGTCCCACCACTAGGTCTCCTGGAAGCAGATATCACCACCATCCCGCTGACTCGGAAGCCACAGAACATTGAGGTCAGGCTGAGAGTCCAGATAGATCCCCAGTTCAGGTTCCTTCATGACCAGCAGTACCTTGTACCTGAGGGAGCCACACTGCAGGATGTCCTGATCAAGGCCCAGGAGGAGGGCTGGTTCACGTAAGAGACTCCCTTAACGATAATGAAAACAAGAGCAGCTCCCATTTCCAGGGCTCTTGTAAAGTTTCTAAGTTCACGGGAGATAGACCTTGCGCATCTGGTTATCCCCATTTTGTAGCTGAGGAAACTGAGGCCCAGAAAGGTTGAATGACTTACTTAGGGTCATCCAGCTAATAAATGGACTGGGATTTGAACTCGGATCTTCTTACTCCAAGCACAGTATGTTTGCCACTCCCCCACATGCCTTCACTTCTGCTGAATTCCTGGGGTTGGAGTTATGATGGGGCCTGGGGCAGAGTAGAAGCCCAAGAAAACATAACAATAATGGATGGATAGATAGATAAACAGACAGAGAGCTGGATTAAGTGAGCATTTATTAATTAATTACTGTGTGCCAGACCTGCACTGGCGTCGTGGAGGGCATACAGACAAGACAGCCCCTGCCCTGAATAAGCTTGTATTCTAATGAGGGAAGGGAAGGTGAGAAGTCATCTGTCTGAGCCTGGTAGCCTGGTGAGAGACCGCTGAGAGTGATAAGAATGGTCCCTGCTTGAACGTCTCCAGGGAGGGGGCCCACTAGCTCCTCATTGTCAGAATGTGTTTGCTGACCCCCCCAAGCCTTAATTTGCCTCCTTGCTCCTGGTTCTGGCCTTCAAGGCCAAGCAGAAAAAGCCTAGTCCCTTCTTCCTAAGGTAGGCCCGTAAATAGTTGAACATCCCTATCACACCTTCCCCAGGTCTTCTCTTCTCCAAAACATCCCCAGTTCCTTCAGTCAATCTTAATTATTCAGTCTTAATTATTTCAAGACTGTCTCCCGTCCTGGTCATCTCCTCTGGATACTCTCCTGCTTGTCAGTGCCCTTCTTAAACTGGGATGCCCAGGATTGATCAAAGGCCTCCATGTGACCAGAGCCGAAGACAGGGAAATGGTCACGCCCTTAAGATGACTGTGTGGGCCCCAAGGACAATGCCCACAGCAAATGGAAGACAAGGGCTTCTTTGTCCAGATTCAGCTGGCTGCCTTTCTCTGTCTGTTTCACAAAGTTGGTGATTCAATAACTTTCGTAGTGATAGTTCCTATGTATGTCTAGGGCACTTTGAAGTTTGCCCAGTATCTCCCTCAATCCTTCCAGGAATGCTGTATGGGAGGCGTCCATTTTACAGATAAGGAAACTGAGGCTCAGAGAGATTTAGTACCTTACTCAGAAGTCACACAGCTAACAGAGGTTGAAAGCAGAAGTAAACACAGGTTCTTGACCCCAAGTCCAGGGTGCCTCTCCACTATGCCAGGTTGTCTCAGGCGCCTGGCTGCAACCCGCACGTGTATTTCTGCCAGCAATACCCGGGCTTGGCATCTTCTTTTCTTCATATTGGTGTGGGGGTAGTGGAAGGATCACTAGATTACGAGCCAGAGGACCTTGGCTTAAATCCCCAGTCTGTACCTGACTAACTGTATGACCTTGGGCAAATGACTTCCCCTCCCTGGGCCTCAGTTTTCTCCTCTGTAAAATGAAGGGATTGGAGTTGGACTCAGTGATGGCTAAGGTCCCTACCCACTCTATATCTCTGAGCCTCTGGGAGGTCCTCTCTGGGCCTTAATCTCCTCTTCTGCGAAATGGGGGCAGGGGGAGATGGGAGGGTCTCTCTGGACCCTTTCAGCCCCAAATCAGTGAGCCTCGGATTCTACAAGCCTGCAAGAACCAACTGGCACACCAGCCAGGGTTGCTCTGTGATGCGCAGTGCTGCACACCCGCATGGACCTTCCCCTCCAAGAGGGGAGATGAGACAAGGACCCACGGTCCGGGGAGCTCTCTGCTGTGGGCAGGAGTCAGGCTTCCTCAGTGTTCCAGAATCTTCCAGTGGCTCACTGGGTTGCCCTGAAGGAGTCACTCAGTGAGGTGTGGTGGGAAAAGCCCTGGATGGGGAGCCAGGAGCCCTGGCTTTCAGTCTGGACTCTCCTATTATCTTGTTGTGTGACCTGGGACGTGTCTTCCTGCCCCCCCCCCACCCCTGGCCTCAGTTTCCTCATCTGGAAAATGCAGATCATAACAGCCCTATTTACCTCCTGGGTTTCCAGTGAAGTTTAAAGGAGAAAATGGACAGGAAATGAGAGGTGACGTCAGGGCGACCCACGCTGGCGCCCGCTCTGCTCCCTCTGGGTCCTAGAAGGCGAGGTGCTCCCAGAGAAGGGCTTGAGCCCTTGCTTTCAGACCCATCACCCTGGCTTCGCCTCCTCCTAGCCCATGGCCACCCAAGACGGTGGGTTCAAATCCCACCTCTCCCACTTCCTGACTCTGTTCCTTCTCTGGGCCTCAGTTTCCCCCTCTGTAGAGTGATGGAGTTGAACTCGATGGTGCCCGGGGTGCCTTCCAGCTTGAGAGCTAGGACCCCATGAGCTGCTTCTGTTTTTGGCAGGTACGAAACTGAGACCACCTTGTCTGGTCCCTTGGTGACCTCGGTGATGGGCATAAGCCCCGGAGAACGGCAATACTGGCAGCTCCTCCAGGCCCCAGACACGCCCCTGCTGCAAGGTGAGCCTGGAGCCCCTAGCTGGGGAGCCTTCCCCCACGGCCTTGGGAAGAAGAGGGAACAGCGTGAGGGAGGGGGAACAGCGTGGGGGAGGGGGAACAGCATGGCCCCGGGCACCCGGCTCCCCTCCTGGTCTCTGACCCCTGCAGTCCCTCCCAGCCTGTGCCGGAGCCCCAGTGCTGGGGTGGACCCTTGCTGGGCAGACCCAACCCTCCCTGCTCTTGTCTTTGTAGGTATTGCCGACTACAGGCCCCAGGACGGAGAGACCATCCTTCTGAGCCTGGCCAGCTGGTAGGGAGGGCCACTCCATCATCCCAAGGCTCCGTCATCCAGAGACCTAGCCTCTGCTACCTTATGAGCAGGAGAGAGTGGGGAGGGAGAGACCCTTTCCAGAGCCCCTTATCATCCCCCCACAACCAGCTAAGGACCAATGATGTCAAACCCTGAGGTCTGACAGTGACCACAGAAGGCCTTCCCCTCTGCAAAGGAAACAGGAATCCCCGCCCCCAGCCCCTTTGCCTAGCTGCCCCTCTGTCCCTAAAACCCCTCCAGATCCAGAGACATCCCCCCACCTGGGACCTCCCATCTGGAGACGTCAGTGTGTCTGCAAAACTAAGGTCCCTGGGCCCCTGCCCTGCCAACATCCCACCTCCTATGGCAGTGTAGGGTTCACCAGGTAGAAAATCCGGTGAGAATCATGTTGTAACAACCTTAGAGATCCAGCTCAGCCCCTCAGGTTACTGAGGAGGAAACTGAGAACAAGCAAGGAAAGGTCACCGGGTGGGGGTAGGAGATGGAGTCTTTGGACTCTCAATCCAGTGCTCTGCTTACTATTCTGGGCTGCACATCTTATGGGCCTTACTCCACAGATGAGGAAACTGAGGCTCCAAAAGAAGAACCAATTTGTCCAGGATTCCCTAGGCAATTTTTTTTGCCTTATTTTGTTCTGTTTCGGTGAGGCAATTGGGCTTGAGTGACTTGCCCAGAGTCACACAGCTAGTGAGTGTTATGTGTCTGAAGCCAGATTTGAACTCAGGGCCTCCTGACTCCAGGGCCGGTGCTCTATCCACTGCACCGCCCAGCTGCCCTGACAATTTTTTTCTGTCAAGATTCCTGAACCATCAGTTTCCCTGGGTTCTTTGAAAGTGTCTGAGCCAAGATTCAAACCCGAGACTCCTTTCCCAGGGTGGGCCTTTCACTAGTCTTCAGGGACTGTGGAACAGTGGGATTCGATAAGAAAAAGGTGCTGGTTTTGGAGTCGTAAGACCTGGGTTCCAATTCTGGCTCTGATTACCCAGTGGAAATCTTGGGCAAATCACTTATCTCTGCGAGCCTCAGTTTGCTGTTCTGTAAAATGGAGGCATTGAACCTTCAAGGTTCCTTCCATCTCTAAATCTATGAGTCAACTGTGATGTGAAGCCCTCATGACCCTTCCCGTCCCTGCTAGGATCCCCAAGAACCAGTGGATCTCAGAATTGGGAGCCCAAGTGGCCTGGCTTGTCTCCCACCCCCACCCCCATATCTGTCCCGACCTTGTCCCTGCCACTGAATGGGTCCAGGTCTACTTAGTTTTGATGTACCTTAGCACACCCCTGTTCCATTGCAGTGGATTTTGGTCTCTGGTTCTATCAGAAAGGATTAAATCACTGATGTTTAAGACCGATGACTGCTGCTCGTTAACGATGGGGCGCAGTGGCTGGAGTCATGTCTGGGAAGGTGGAAAGGCAAAGTCTGCCTTCCAGTGACCACCCCCCGGCAGCATCTACCAGCCGCACAGAGGAGGCACAATCCCTACAGAAAGGAGGAACCGGGGGATACCTGGAAAGGAGAAGCAGAGATCTGGGAGGCAAATGAAAATTCATTCCATACATCCTTAGAGGGCACTTTCCACATGGAGCTGGTCTGGGCCTGGTCTCTTCCTTGACCAGTAGGGGGAGGCTGCTGCCATAGACTCAGGCCAGACCCAGGCAAATACAGCCTCGCCCTGGGTGGGCCCTGGATCCTGCATCCCCCAAAGGCTCTGAGCTTGATCCTGAGGTGATGAAGCTCAGAGGGGTAGAATTTACAGCCCTGAGCTAGTGGCCTGGATTCAGGAGCTGTGGCCTGCCCAAGTCCCAGATGCCAGTGATTCAGTTTTCCCTACACCCCATGGCTACCCCTCCCTGCCCAGGCCCAGGCCCAGGCCCAGGCCCAGGGAGATGACTCTCCTTCCTGTTGTGGACCGCATGTGCCTGCCCAGAGATGGGTGCATCCCTGAGAGGAGGGACCAGTGGTGCTTGGCAGCAAGCCCTGAGAATAGAGGTGGGGCTGCAGCTGGGCAGGGCTGGGCATGATGGGCAATGTAAGGGGAAGGATGTGGGAAGGGAGCTGGGGCCTCCCTCCTCTCCCAAAAGCTCCCAAAGAGAGAGATGGGGTGAGAACCTTTCTCATTCTGAGGCCAAGCATGGGCAGGGCCAGCTGGCTCACTACCTGGCATGAACACAGGCTTGCCCGGCCTCCAAGTGCGGCCCCTAGAGCCCTCCTTCACTGAAAATAATGGGAGGTAGAGAGTAAAGTTAGGGAGGTGCTCTAGTCCCATGATGTGATGGGTGTGTGTGTGTGTGTGTGTGTGTGTGTGTATGTGTCATTCTAAGATTCTGAGAACTATTAGGGAAGCGCTAATAGTACAGAGGAGGGGCTGATGCTGAGTCTGAGACTGACGTAGATGGAGTCAGAGAGAGGAAGGGGGCCTTCCTTTCTGTGGCTATGACTGCCCCAGGGTCTGCCCTAGCCCTCCCCAGCACGTGCTTCTGGCCCATTGCCTGGGTGGGACCCTGCCCCAGCCCCTTCCAGCTTGGCTTTGCCGCCCCTTAGACGCTAGTCCGAATCTCACCGTCACCATGGCAACTGGCAGCTTCAGTCGGGTGGGGCAGGATGGGGAGGGCTCCCGGATCTCCTCTCCCTAGGCGGTTTCCACGGCAACCAGGCGGCTTTGGTCAATGTGGGCGGGCCGGCCAGGCGGGCGGAGAGGGGGTGTGGCCGGGGCCTCGGAGGCGGGTCCCGGGGCGTGGCTAGCTCTGGCCCCGCCCTCCCTCCGCCCCGTACGCCCGGTCCGGGGTGGGGGAGGCGGGGCCCGGCCCGGCCGGAGTAGGAGAGCACGGGCAGAGGAGCCGGAGCCCGAGCCCCCGCAGCCGCCGCCGCAGGGGGCATCGGGCAGGAACGCGAGGCCCCGCAGGCCGGGCCGGGCATCGCCGCCACTGCCCAACCGGACGCCGGGGCCCAGCGCCAGCCCTAACCGCGCTTAGAGATCCGGCCGGGCATCCTCTTCCGCGGGCCGGGCACGGGATACAGAAGACGCCAAGCCCTGGCCCAGGGGGCGAGGAAGAGCTTGTGCACAGGGGCGGAGAGGAGCCCCGGCTGTGTCTGGGCATCCCCTGGCCGGGGGGGAGGCGCTGCCCCTCTGGAGCCCCAGGCCCCCTGCCCCCCGGCCCCCATGTGCGTCTGCTCCCGGAGGAACCATGAAGCCGGAATGACCTCGGCCGATGGAGCCCCGGCCACCACGCTCCTGCTGCCTTGGAAGCTGGCCCTGCGGGACCAGGGGCAGGGCCAGTGCCCGCCGGGCAGCCCCGGGCGCATCCTGGCCACCGTGCTGGTGTGGCTGGTCACGGGCACCAGCATGTCCAGCCTCAACAAGTGGATCTTCACCGTGCACGGCTTCCGCTACCCGCTGCTGCTGTCTTCCTTGCACATGCTGACCGCCGTCCTCGTGGGCTACCCGCTGGCCGGGCACCGGGCGCGCGGGCCTCTCCCTGCCCGGGCCAGGAGGAGGGTGCTCCTGCTCAGCCTGACTTTCTGCGCTTCCATGGCCTGTGGGAACTTGGGCCTCACCTACGTGCATTTGGACTTTGCCCAGATGGTCTACACCACCACCCCGCTCTTCACCCTGGCCTTGTCCAAGGCGATCCTGGGCAAGCGGCATCACCTGCTGCAGTACGCGGCCATGGGACCCATCTGCCTGGGCGCTGCCTGCAGCATCGTGGGCGAGATGCACTTCCACCACGCCGGCTGCTCCTTCCTCTTCGCTGCCACCTTCCTCCGAGGCCTCAAATCGGTGCAGCAAAGTGAGTACCCACGTGCCCGGCGAGCTAGGGCCGAGCCACCAGGACTGGCGGTCACTCTGTGCGACCCTGGGCAAAGGGCTTCGGCTCTACGGGCTAAGGCTCCACATCTGTAAACTGAGGGGGTTAAACCATGCAGGTCTGCTAAGGCCCCTCGCAGCCCTGACACCCCCTGTTCTGAGGCCCCTCCCAGGTCTGACACCCCCTGTTCTGAGGCCCCTCCCAGCCCTGACACCCCCTGTTCTGAGGCCCCTCCCAGCCCTGACACCCCCTGTTCTGAGGCCCCTCCCAGCCCTGACACCCCCTGTTCTGAGGCCCCTCCCAGGTCTGACACCCCCTGTTCTGAGGCCCCTCCCAGCCCTGACATCCCCTGTTCTGAGGCCCCTCCCAGGTCTGACATCCCCTGTTCTGAGGCCCTCCCTCCCAGCCCTGACACCCCCTGTTCTGAGGCCCCTTCCAGGTCTGACATCCCCTGTTCTGAGGCCCTTCCCAGACCTGACCTCCCCTGTTCTGAGGCACCTCCCAGATCTGACATTCCCTGTTCTGAGGCTCCTCCCAGCCCTGACATTCTCCAGCTGTGTCTACATGGAAGAGGAAATAGTCCTGTTGAAAGAAAAGGACTTGTCCAAGATCACACAGATAGTAACTGGTCAGGGTTAGGATTTGAACCCAAGTCCTCAAACTCCAAATCCAGCCTTTTTTTTTCCATTGGACTACAAGATAAATTTTTTTTTGCTTGGCCCCAGGGGGCAGAACTATGAGCAATGATATGTTGAAGAGAGTAAAGGCTGTTTATATATGATGTCAGGAAAAAACTTTCTAGGCATTAGAAAAAAGTAAAACAAATGACTAATCTCCTTAGGTCATGGTTCCCTATGTCTGGAGGTCTAGAACCTTGTCTGAGTATGTTGTAAAGAAGATTTGGGTCTAGGCTGCACTACATGTCCTCTGAGGTCTCTTCTAGCTGAGACTGTGTCCTGTGCTTGCATTTGTAGATAGGCCATTCTGGGACATAAGCAGTTGACTAGAGACTAGGCCCACAGAGCTAACTGGCAGAGTCCTGACTGTATGGATACATACCCACAGTGGACTCCACTGGGTAGTAATTGGTCAGTTCCTGCTTTTGCCTGAGGTTCTGGGATAGGGAGATGCTTTACTCATGCCCTGCACTTAGGGGAAGGGCAATTGGGATAGAGTCCCAATGTACAAAGACAGTTCCTGGTCTTGTGTTCCGTGCATGGGAAGGAGGGTGGGTGGAGGAGGACACTATTTAGAGACTAACATATTGATTGGTTTATTTGGAGGATGCCTGAAAATAAGTATAGCCATATCTCTCCACCTCCATCCCGATCCCTTCCGGATTTCCTAGTCTTCATTGCCAGCAGCCCACCAAGCTAGGCCTCCTGTTTTCTCTGTCCCTTTTCTTCTCCTCTCCCTCTCTCTTTTTCTCCTTCCTCCTCCTCTCTCCTTCTTTCCTCTCCCTCTCTCCTTTTCTCCTTCTTTTCTCTTCCTCTCTCTCACTTTCCTCTCCCTCTCTCTTTTTCTCCTCCTTCATTTTGTTTCCCTTTTTCTTCCTCTTCCTTTCTCTCTCCCTTTTTTCCATCATTTATTCTCTTTTTTTCCTCCCTTGCCCTGTCTTTTTCTCTCTCTTCACATATGCACATTACAGACATATACCAGTCTCTGCAAACATATTCTCAGGTGCACCTGCATTGACAGAGCGATGTGAACCCCTTAGACACATGCACTCTAATCTCACATGTGTATACATGCACACATGCACACATGTGTATCTGCTCTCACGCCATTCACATGCTTCCATGTGCTTATACATACTTATAGAGACACATGTCGCACGGGAGCTTGTGCCAACGCCCGCATTCCCAGGCCTGTCGGGGAGCTG